GTAACATTAATGTTCATACTTATACAAGTTAAATGATTTAACATTTGTTAATTTAACGCTACCAGTTTATGCGATAGTTTTAAACGCGATGTATCTATATATGGACGTTATCATTTTTTATATTCCATTTACAACAAAGAGTGAAAATACGTCTACATTTGACTATGTGTCTGGAGGACTTGGCAGCATTTCAATGGGATTTTCACAGTATTCTGTATGTGTGTTTTTGTAATACGATGATATCTTAAGTAGAATCACAAAATATTTTATGAAGTGGAATTGGAAGGATAATAATAGCAAACTGTTGTTGCTCTTGTGTAAAAGTGGCAATGACGAATAATATTTAAATACTATTTAAAGAAATATCCATTTATTTGTGATACTCGATAGAAAAAAAAGAGGAAGATATTTTTCAATGCGAAGTCAATCATACAAAAATAATTTTTTAAATCGCATATTAGAAAATTTATATAAGTTCGTAATTCTATGAAGTAGATGTGAAAGTTGATAACAAAATGTTCAGAAAACTTGGCAAAAATAAAAATTACGTCTTGTAAGGTCTGTCGAAGTAAGTAAGGTGTATACTTTATTGCTAAATCTCAACCAATAATGATGCTGTTCAGTGAAGGAAAACAGCTGTGCCTTGTTCCTACGGACAAAACCTCACTGTTAATTGTATATATTCATTAGCAAATCTCTTAACGCAATCTTCATCGTTCAACTTGCTTCTACTAAATTCATTTTTTTTTTTCAAACGATCAGATTATATTGCTTAAAAAAAAAGGAGAATATCATATAAAAATGTAACAAGCATTGAATGGCATATCCTCTATGCTGCCTAATTGGACATTACAAAGTAAAAGTGTATAGCCCAAATCGAAAGCAATTTCTAGACTGATTTATTCGATGGAATAAAAGTAGTTGAAGCGCATAAAAATTAATATTTGCTGTCGTATAATACACATAGCAATTAGATCTTTTCTATGGTTATTATATTATATATCATGATAAAACAATTTTATATAATTGTATCTGTCCCAATGACGAATTGGAACTTTACAAATGAAGAGAGAGTATAAATGTACAACAATTTCAATGAGACCAACATTTTAGTCTTATTGAATAATAATAGCTGTATCTATCATTCGCCTTTTAAGAATATTAATTTCCTTCAAAATACTTTATCATACCGAGACACGGAAACTTTGTATATTTACATACAAGAATATTGTACCGTTGCAACGTATGAATAATTTTGTGCATTTCTTTGCATTTAACGCAGAAGTTGGAAGAAAAACATCACGCATTCACATGTCTCTCTATACGTGTGTGTGCGTGTATGTATACGTTCACGCGCGAGTGTATGGATGTGTGTGTGTGTGTGCGCGTGTGTGTATCTACAGATAGAGCTTAATCTCCTGATACGAAGAATGTTTAAATCAAAACAATTTTTATCTCAGTTACACTATATATTTCGTAACAAGACAACCACGATTTTTTTACTCTTTAGTTTCTATTCGTTCATGGAGTATTTAAGGGAATTTGAATTGCTGCGATAGAATGTTTCTAGTCTTGGTTGCAAATTTTCGAAGTAGTAAACACACAAGATTCTAAATGTACTGGTATTTGTACTATAAGAAATTTATAAGTTTATTAATAAAATTTGTTTCGAAATACACTAATAATTACGTATTGCTCGAAATTAACCAGTTAAAGATATCGAGCAAAAAACCTAGAATGACTTTGTTGCTGATAATAAATTAAATATGCCCACGTTTCGTTAATATTTATTTACAACTAAGAGTAAACTGAGAAGAAATCATGTAACATAATAACGCTTGCATAATAACAAATAACCTTCACTGCAAGGGCCAATATTTTTGAGATATTTAAATGCATATGATACAATGGAAAATTGGAACTTTCGTATCATCCATAACATGGAATAATGTAATCAAAAGGAATAATTCTATCGTTCACAATAAAATCTATCCATTAATTTTCTGTAGTTATTACACACTTGGTTTCATGTTAATTACCATTGTAAGTCACATTAGTGCAATTAATTGTACAGCACACTGTTATCGAATATCAGTGTAGCATATATTATTAGTTGAAGGGAAAAAAGTCGAACAATAAATTAAGTCCTGTTGATTGTGCTAATTGTCTTTATTTTATTACATGTTATTAAGTCATATACAAAGTACAGTATTACTGATACGCATTATTTATTATATAATTTTATCAGACTGATATTTACAACGTCCGTGTGCTGTATCAATTGCGATTAGAAGCTTTAGTCTTACTTTCACATACCAGTGGACTGTAAACAAGTCTATATATATAAACGTAAACATGTAACTAGAAAATCTATTGAATTTTTCCGTAAGGAAGTGACACTGTTTCTTAAAAGTTCACGCGAGACGCTGCCGCTCAAAAACACCTACATCGGCTTCAAAATAAAATAATTAGGATTTCACACTTTTTTATTGCAAAAAGCAGTTTACACGATTCAACGTGTCCTGTCTAGCATAGCGAAATGTGCATTTAACGATGATAAATATTCTTCAACTGCATAATAATTTTCACGAACAATGTATAAAAATAAATGTGAATGCAACCTAGCGTAAGTTCTCCAAACTTTAAAGGAGAATGTAACTCGCTTGTATCGTCCTTTCTTACAAGAACTTTAATAAAATTATTGTTTTCAAACTGTACCCCAAATTATTCTTCTCTGTAAATGCTCGAGTTGATCACACGATTTCAAATCAAATTTCTGGTAGCAGAGCGCGGCTGCTGAAACTGGCCCTGCATCTAGCGGTGAATAGATGACTCTACATGTAACGCCTACCGCTATGCAACCCGCTAAATGAACCGAAGACATGTATAAATCTATGCATTCTTTAAGGCGCTAATCTTATTTGTACCATCTTACCGCTGGATGCTGGAATCATTACAATGCTATGTGGTTTAAATGAAGTGAAATAATAAAAAGAATCAGAAGAAAAAAGATTAAACAGTATTTACGAATTGCAGTATGTTTAACATTTTTTTACAAATTTTAAATTTACAAAATGGAGGAATCTATACAGATGCGACAAGAACGAAGATAACACGAGATGGCTCTATCTATTCCAAAAGTATTGAAAAGGTATCCGAAGCAATAATTAAAGCAATTAATAGAGTAAATTTCATCGCTAGATGGCGCCACGAGATAAATCCATCAGCGCCCTCTAGGATAAAGCGCCCAAGTTATTAACCAATTAGTATAAAACTCTGACCAGTAGATGGACTTAGTACATAGACGTAGCTTGTGTGCCTTACAACCCGTATTGGAATAATAGACATTCTAGGAATTTGAAATCCGAGAGCATTCATAGTATGAGCCCCACTGAAAGAGAGCTTGCGAGCTTTTGAGCCATTTTAGGAGAGCTAAATTTCCCAAAAATCGGTATTCGAGAGCTTTTTTTAGTTTGAGCGCGCGACGGAGAGAGCCCGCGAGCTTTTGAGCCATTTTCACCAGAGCTAAATTTTCCTAAAAATCAGCAATCGAGAGCTTTATTAGTTTGAGCCACACGACAGCAGAGCTCGCGTGCTTTTGAGCCATTTAAGGACAGCTAAATTCCCAAAAATCGGTATTAGAGAGCTTTTTAGTTTGAGCCGCGAGCTTTTGAGCCATTTTCACCGGAGCTAAATTTTCTTAAAAATCAGTAATCGAGAGCTTTATTAGTTTGAGCCCGCGACAAAAGATAGCTCGCGAGCTTTTGAGCCACCTCGGGCATGGTAATCCATGTAAAACTTGTAAATAGGAGAGCTTCTTTAGTATGAGCCCACTGCAATAGTGCTTGTGAGCTTTTGAGCCATTTTCAAGAGGGCTAATAGGCCTGAAAATTCGGAAATCTAGAGCTTTCTTAATTTGAGCGACACTATAACTGACCATGTGAGCATTCGATTAAATTTTCGGAGAGCTGTATGCCCCGAAATTCGAAAACCGAGTGCTTTTTTAGTTTGAGCGGCACAGCGAGAGAGCTTGCGAGCTTTTGAGCCAAAGTAATGGAAGTGTAATAGAGCAAAAATGTAAAGCCACGAGAGCTTTTAGAATTTGTATTTCATTTTCAGAGTTCAAAACAGAATTACATGTTCTCTTTATTAAATAAATCTAAACGTTGTGATTAATTGTTCATTGTTTACGACAGAATAAAACTGTTGATTATTAGAAAAAGTAATTTTTAAAAATCCCTCCCTTTTTCGGGATTGGTGGCGCCATCTGTCGCAAGAACGCTCAAACTTCGAGCCAAATAGTACCAGACAATCGCCGATAGGTGGCGCCACAAAAATAAACCGGCTCTGATGGTATCACTTCGAATTACCAACCGAATGGGCTACAACGTGTTAGGAGCGGTCCATAGATGGCGTGACTATCGCGTTTAGCCGAGATTCTCTGTCCTTGTCTTACTGTCAGTCATCTTTGTCCTATTCATTTCAGGGATAAAGGAAACGCTCCATTTTATCTTTTGGAAATCACCGCCAAACTGACGGCCGCTACTTCGCTTGCGTGATTGCCCCTGATCACCTGCAGCCGGTAGAGTAGCCCAGGTTATTTTTTGCGTAGCGGTTTGATGACAGTGTAACGTTTAGTTACGTGCCTTTTTTCTAGGAATAGTTATAGGTGAGTAATGCCATAAAAGTATATAATCAGTTTCATTGGGATCAAGTGTGGTGTAATCTATTGGGCGTGTATCAGATTGCGGCCGATCTACGAAAGGATCCTTTTATCTTCTCTGTCAACGAAGACGGTTCAATAATAGGAATATTTAAAATGATTAGCGGGCGTGCTTTGCATTTTGTATTTAAAATACCGAACCGTAAATTGACGGCGAAATTTTATCGAGAAATTCTTGGAATGAAGGTTAGTAGTAGGTATAAGATATTTTTCACATTGACATATGATGACAGTGAATGTATTTTCTTGTAGGTGTTGCGCCATGAAGAATTCTCTGAAGGTTGTGATGCTGCCTGCAACGGGTTCGTAATTGCCTTTATACGTGATATTTTATTTTACATTGTGGAATTCTAATTAATTTTTATTGCACAATTAGGCCGTATGCAAATCGATGGAGCAAGACCATGATCGGATATGGTCCAGAGGATACTCATTTTGTTATAGAATTAACTTATAACTATGGAATCCAGGAATATGAAGTTGGTAATGACTTTCGTGGTATAACAATTAGATCTAAGGAAACAATTGAGAGAGCACGTTCAAATGGATGGCCTATGAGCGAAGAGGATGGAAAATTTATTCTTGAAGCACCAGGTGGATATAAGTATTATGTTATTGATGAGCCACAGCCTAAAGAGAAAGGTATTGATATAAACATAATTAAATATTTTTTAATTTTAAGCAATATTTACTTTGAAACTCATTTGATTAATAGATCCAGTAGAGAAGGTAACTCTGTCTAGCTCTGACCTTCAAAAGACTATTGAATATTGGAAAGATATTTTGAAATTGAAAGTATTTAACCAAACGGATAAAACTGTATTGTTAGGATACAGTGACGATCAGGCTAAACTAGAATTTGAGGATATAGGTAAGTTGTTTAAAAAATGTACACTTTATGTGTGTTGATTTTATTATTAATGGAATAATTTATTTATTTAGGCACTGAAATTGACCATGCTAAAGCTTATGGTCGTATAGCTTTCTCCATTCCATATGATCAACAGCCTGAAATTCAAAAATTGATCAAAGAGTCTGGAAACACAATATTAACTGACTTAATCACTTTGGATACACCGGGAAAAGCTTCTGTAAGAGTGATCATACTTGCAGATCCGGTAAGTGCATATATTGTGTCTTTTATTAAAATTTTTAAAAACACATTCCTCATTATTGTGATCTTTAGGATGGCCATGAAATTTGTTTTGTGGATGATGAAGGATTCCGTCAGCTATCAGTTCCAGACTACCCAAGTGAAAAAATTTTAGACAGATACATTGCAAAGGAAAAATAAATTCTTAAATATTTCTCTTACAAATTATACATTTCAGTATTTTCGTAAATTTGGAAGGCTGTGTTAATAATCATTTATATTTTTGACAATTATTGAATACAGAGGTGGAGGTTTATGCGGTAGATAAAGATATCGATTTTTAATGATTTATAATAATCCTGAATACTTGTTAAATATTTCATAGAGTCTGTACATACGATTTTGTAATCATTTAGAGTTTCTACAAACTGCGTCGTCTTTGGTGGAAGTTGTTATCGTGAGATAAAATAAAAGATTTATTATGAAGTAATATTTTTATTGCTAGAAACTCGGGTACCGTGATATCTGTAAGAGGTCATCATTGGTACAGACCCCTTACCACGTAAGAACCTATACATTTATAATTTCAAGGAAAACGTGAAGATAATATTATACGCAGTAATGCAACTGTGAAAAAGAAAATGGTTTGATAAATGAAAGTGTAAATATATATATTCTTTCTCGTGCATTCTAGTAACGCAAGTTTGCTGAATACGACGATACTGTGTTTTTCATGTGTCTAAGAATTATGAAGTTTCGAACGTTTTTGCTTTTGCTCCTGGTACTTTTTATTATTGGTAAGTGTCAATAGTTAATTTTTATAGACTAAGGAAATGTCTATTTAATAAAATAAGAGTTTCCTAATTGTTTTACTTGTTATTTAAGAAAATACTATTTTCTGTAGATAATGTCAGTGCAAAAGGACTTTCAATAAAATTTCCAAAAATAAAGTTTGGATCGTCTCGTGGAACTACATTTTCTCGGAGTGGTCACAGATCATCTACAAGTAGCCACAGGTCATCTACAAGTAGTCACAGTTCACCTACAAGTAGTCACAGTTCATCTACAAGTAGTCACAGTTCATCTACAAGTAGTCACAGTTCACCTACAAGTAATCATAGATTACCTACAAGTAATCACGGATCATCTGTAAATAATCACGGATCACCTACTACAAATAATCACGGATCACCTACCACAAATAATCACGGATCACCTACCACAAATAATCACGGATCACCTACTACAAATAATCACGGATCACCTACTACAAATAATCACGGATCATATGGAGCTGGTTACGGGTTATCCACAGGTAATAAATTAGAAACCTCGTCAAGCGGTTCTTCTGTTACTCATATATTATCCAGTATCTTACATTGTTGCTTACATTTGTTACTACCAAGCCTTTTGAATGCACCAACTCTTTCTCACAATTTCAGGCCGGACAACACAGCAGCACACTAAAAACATCAACCAAGACTTCTTAAATGCTGAAGGCGGTGGAGCTAAAAAACCAAGTAAATTTAACATACCTTGAAATACAGACTACACCATTGCGATTGTGAAGTGTAAAAGTGTTGTTATTCTTCAGCTCCAAATCTTCATACACCATCTGCGCCACCAGCACCGGTTAATACGGACCACTCTTCAGATTCAGCGCATTCCCTTTGGAGAAGTCGTGCTTTCGATAACAAGGGATCAGTAACGCCAAGTCCAACAAGCAATGGGTGGAGTAATCCGCATTTTAGTACCATTGCACCAGTCCCAATATATCCTCCGTGGAGACCTCAGCAGGGAAATGTTGCACCGGGCGTCACACCTCCTCCAATCGGATTCAAACAAAACGTGCTTCAGCAATCATCATCTTATCCTAATTCCTACCCAAGCTCGATGCCAATGGGAAACTCACACGGTCTCCACCCTCCCGGGACCGTTCACGGTTCACCTGGACAAACTTACTATCCGCAGCAACCGTACATGTTTACGCAACCTGCAACGCAACCGTTTGTATCTAGTCAGACGGTGATAATGTCAACAGGACAAGACTATGGTATAGGACAAATGGTTAAAGAGGCAGCGGTACACTCCTTCGTCGCAGAAGTAATGAGAAGAGTGATAAACCCTTATCCTCATCACGTCGAAAGTAGACCGGACAACGGTTCACCATCCGTAACTCACATAACTTACAATAATTATATTAATAATAGGCCATCTGGAACGTCTAGCACGAGTAGTGCGATAAATCCCACGATTGGCAACGCGGCTCTACCTACACAATCTAACGTATCAACAAGCAATCAAGGGAATTCGACTATTAATCCTACCGCTGCTAACAACGCAATGTTCTACAGATTTTCCGATGCCGAACTCTTCACGATAACGGAAACTCTGTTCGCCAGATCGCTCGATATATCAAAATACATAAAATTAAATCTGCAGCAGCGCACATCTCCCAACGTAACAGGCAGAGCTACGCAACGGTAAGCGTCGAGTCGCAGTTATTATTTACAGCACCGCTAATGTTTAGACTATCTGGTCACGTGTGCTTGTAATTATTTCACAGATTATTGAAGATAGAACCGGAACTCCTGGAATATCCCACGATTTACGTAACGCGCGCTTTATACGATCGCTACGAGCATCATTTCCAGAGGAAACTGAACCGCACGAAGGATTTACGAGAACAGGAGAATCTCCTGTTGGACACGTACTTGAATACAGATGTTATGGCGTCAGCCATGCAATGGCTAGCGGATCGTGGATTCATCGATCCCGACGATTTCGAGAGAAGAGACGTCCTCCGTCGTATTTGGTTCACAGTGTTCGGCGGAAGCACGTGTGGATTCGAGCGTATATTCGACTCCGAGAACTACGGCGTGTCGATCATGGGTGTTCAAGACTGGCTGCACTTCGCGGTCAAAGAGTCCACGAACAGTATAAAATATATAGGATGGGTAGATAAGCTGAACCTTGGAAATGTAAGCGACCAAACAAACGCTAGATAATATCGTCAACGCCAGAGGCACAATGTTCATCGTGTAACGCGTTTCTTTTATCTTCCAGACCGCCTCTTTGTTGACGCTGAACTTCGAAATGGACGGACTCGTCCAAACGAACAGGACAATATTCGTGGGCACAATGCCCGAGCTGGAAATGTCTTTGTACACGATCTGCTTCTATGCGAGACCGAACAATGTGTGTCCGGTTTCACTTGGCGGAACGAAGTTCGTTATATTCACCCACTCGTTCACGCACTTTGGAAAGGAAGTGATGGATCTTGCTTTTCCAGTATTCTGAGAAACTGTGAACGCTTGTCGAACGTAGCGCTGTCGTTAGAAATTGTTATTAGTAGCGACAATGATTTGCTAGTGTAGACGTGTAGGTTAATATTGATGTAAACTTCATGGATGTGCGTGCATGTGTATGGGTGTAGCGTGCGTGTATGCGTTGTTTTGAATAAACGCGAGAAAAAAGAAGATATTGAAATTAGAAATTGTTATTAGTAACGACAAAGATTTGGAATTATTTAATATTAATATTTTAAACAGTTGCGACTTGTGAACCGGTTGACCGACGAAAGCGAACTGAGCTTAGAGTTATGGGGAACATGTCCGATTAGGGGTTTACAATTTTATGGTGGGGGTTTACAGGTAATTTGGGTCACGCTCAGGAAACGACCGGCAAATCCCTTTGGCGGTTAATGTAAATAACGACGTATACAAAAACCTTAACAGATTACCGCACACTCTGTTTTTTCAATTGTTTGTTTTGACTTGCCAGGTCATGAGAACTCGTACACAAAATCAACGCTATCTAGACTGTTACGTCATTCAATGTCTTACCGAAGAATAAACGAATAAATGAGTTAACGAACAATATGTAACTGATACTTAAATAATAAAAATAAACAATATTCAAACATAAAGCTTCTTGTCAATCACAGATCCATAAACTCAAACGTTCCCAGCAGCGCGTCGCTTCAGCGATCCAAAATTCAATCTTCCCTGAAACAGACAAAATTTATAACTTACATAAGCTAGATTCTCCCACAGAAAATAGTAACATAAAAAAACAACAGCGCAAGATAAATATTCATGGATCCGTGTTCCTGAAACGTAAAAGGAACCAGTCTCAGAAAAGTGAGGTCCCGGCGCGTCATCGACAATTTTGCGTAGCGAGTTTCTCCCGTACTGCGCGTGATTTCGCTGCCGGATCGTTCCGCTGGATCCCTACCACCCGACGATCGCATCGGAGATCGATGCAAGGAGAAAGCCCCTGCAACACTGACGGCCGAGTTCAGCGTGTGCAGGCGCGTCCGTGTTCCAGTAACGGGTTAGCCGTCGCGCAGTTAGCATCGTCGGCCATCGCGAAGATCCCAGATCGCGCCGGATCGCACGAGACTCCGGCGAGCAACGAAGAAAACAAACGAACTCGCGCCGAAGAAGAGAAGCATGCGTGGCAAGCTGCTTCTGATCCACCTCGTCCTCGTCCTGTACGTTCTCGGTAAGCGAACGAACCGGTTACACGCGTCGGAATAGAATTTCCGTTTCCTCGAACGACGCTCGTTCCTTGCTGGCGTTGATATCTCCGGCAGGTGCGTCGCTCACGGTCGGTCCGCGTGAACGTCTAGAATCGGAGACTAATTTCCTAGCGGTTTCTGCGCGCTGACCCTGTCGATCATGGCGTCCTTATATAAGGTAGACAACACGGTGTGTCCGAATTCGGTGAATTTAAACGTTGCCCTTGTAACCGTACGTTTGACAATTGTCGAGCTTACCGAATTGCGTTATCAGAAAATAGAACTAGATATTTGAGTGCACCGAGGAAATGCATGTTTATGTCGAAAGGTTGCGATCGAGTTTCTGAGACTTAACACTGAAACTACCGAGCACTTCAATTGACTTTTGAAAATTTCGCTCTAGAAACTCCAAGAGTGTATCTGTTTAGACTTTAACTGATTTACAATTCAATTTGCGTAGTGATGAAGTTCTTTAATAATTTCTCAGAGAAACATTCGTTACCTTTCTAATAATTACAAGAGAAGACATCATGGGTGATTTGACCCCTCTGGTAGTTTTAGTGTTTCTTAACACTTTCTAATAATTGCAAGAGGAAGACATCATGGGTGATTTGACCCTGTGGTAGTTTTAGCGTTAAGAGTGAAATTCGTAAGGAAATCAAGAGGCTAATTAGCAAACGACCGATCCGCGTCGCGAAACGGTCGGTCCGCGAACTCTCGATTTCCCCGGATTGTTTTGGCCGCTCGGCAGTCGGAGATCGGCGCGGAGCGGTCCGCCGTTCACGAGACAAATTGGTTTACAGCTCGGAATTGCATCAAATAGTTCGTAACGAGATCAGTGGAGAGAAAATTGCTGGCATACCCGGGACACCGACACGCGCGTGATCGTTCCACTTGTCTTCACTTGACGGGGCCGGAGGAGCGCGCAGAAGTGGCCGCGCCGCCGCTTCTAGAAAGTCGCGGCCGTGGCGCTGACATTGAGCTCCTAATGAATTTAAAACGATTCCGTGGAATCTGGAAGACCGTAATTTCGCTCGGCTCGGCGAAATCGTCGCGATGACGCGTCGCCATCGAGCGAGGCTCGCTCGCTCGCGATAAACCGCCGCGGTAAACAATAAACACCGCGTGCAACTGTAACCCGCGGATGCAACGGACCGCGCGGCCACGTAAATAAGAATATTTCCTTGAATTGCCGTAATCGCGATGACGCATGATTACGATAGCCTACATTACATGTCCGAGTAACAGGAAAGGGAAAACGGTGTGGGCAATGGTGTGTCATCCTTGGCGTTCGAGCTGAGTCGAATCTTTGGGCAAACGCTGCGAAACGTTCGCGTAACTTCGATGTATAGGTAGCCTTTCTATAGCATGATTTCGCTCGAACACGATGAGATCATTGCGACTTTGTAACATTGTACTACAGTACTGGATAACGTGATTTTTGTTGAGCGTATTTAACCCTTTGCGGTCCGAAGTGCTTTTGGGTTCTCACTCGCTCTATTTATTCAAGAATATTTGGAAGTCGTTGAAATGTTACCTTTAAGTGGTAGAATTGTGATACAAATAAATATAGAAAACATTAAAACAGGTAGAGGTTGCAATGAAATAGAATGTCGAGTCTGACTCGACATAGGACTGCTACCAATGTTCTCCCACGGATCAAAGCAAACTATTCTATCTTCGAATGGACAATTTTGTTGCATTTCTTTCAAATTCTTGATAGTAAATTAATAGCGAAAGTAGATAGTACGGCAAGGGGTAAAAAGACTAAATTACCTTAGAATGACGGAAATAACATATAACAGGTTCCACGCAACACATTTTCTAGGAACCTATCTATCGCGTTATAGAATGGTTAGCACAAGTATTTTCTATTCGAGCAACGTTTCTAGCAGAGTCTGTTGGTTCTGCTAGCCACTCGTTGCCCGTCTATATCCGACAATCTAAACGAGCCGAGGCGTAACGAAGCGCGCGAACGTTGAAAAGCGTATCTCGCTCGGCGCGTACCGTTGCACAAGAATCCCCTGCGCCGGAGTGCAGCGAGGAGCGCAGCGTTCGAAGGCGGCCGATGTAAATAATCGGGTCGTCGTGTTAATGATATACCATTATTTGATTTAGCGGATTGTTAAATTGTTGGGGGCTCCGTATCACGATCAATCATAGAACGATAGGCGAGCTGAACGATCAGTGGGCAGAGGATTATGAAACATTAACGGGCCGACACGCAATTGCTCGCGCTCGCTTATCGCAAAAATTGACCGTATTCGTACGGAACACGTTTCCGTGTCCGGCGTGCACGCCGCAGCTAAGTACCGTCGCGGCGGATTTCGCAGCACGCATCTCCGTTGATTATCGCGCGAATACGTAACCGTGGAAACGATTGTATTCGGCGATACCATTCGTTTCACGGTCCGCTGGCTCCGCCGGCTGGTAATTCCGTTCACACGAAATCGCTGCGCGTGCGATTCGAGGAATCTCGACGATGAGTCGCGCCGCCACGTAAACTGTGATTGTGTGTTCAGCGGACGTCGGGGCAGCCAGGTCATCGGGGTCGCGGAGGTCGGGCAGCTCCTCCCGCTCATGGGGTCTCTTCGGGTCACGTTCAAGGTCGACGCCGAGCACTCGCACCTACCCTCAACAGAATCAAGGTACAATCTTCTGTAATCTCTCAATTGGCGCGCTCTTGAATCTGAAATCCGCGACGCAGCTCAGCTGAATCAGTCGCCTTCAGTCCACCTACACGATTATCGATTTAATCCAAGCATTGGATTTCACCTACTGTCATTCGAGTCTACACTGCACACTGAACTCTCTCGTTCTTATGGTGATTTCCGTCCAGGTGGCTCTCACCCGGATAAGATAGGATGGAACGTGCCGGACAAGAAGCCTTCCGGGACCAGCTACTCCGCCAAGCCGTCCGCTCCCGTGAACGAGCACTCGGCGAAGGCCAGCGCTTCCAACGTGCAGTCGGGCTACACTCCTTCGGGTACCTTGTTCTTCCCTGCATCGCGTCCTCTGAGAGAAGCGGGAGTATTCAACAATTTGTTTGCAGGTGGATACCCTCGGCAGCAGGCTGGTAACCCGTACCACTCTCAGTCGAACAGCCCGTACAACCCTTCGGCGGGTCAGCCGTACAATCCTTCAGCGGGTCACCCGTACAATCCTTCAGGGGGTCACGCGTACAATCCTTCGGTGGGGCAGGGTTACAACCCCTCGGTGGGACAAGGCTACAACCCTTCGCCGGGCCACTACAATGCTCCCGTGGGTGGACACGCGCCGTACGGCGGGCAACCGTCCTACGGTGGGTACAACCCAGGCTACGGTCAACCATCCTATGGGTCGTCCTTCGGGCAACCGTCTTATGGGGGAGCCTTCGGTTCGTCCATGGGACAGGTTCCTCAGCAGACCATCCTCGTGCAGCAGGCGTCGAAGCCTGGCATCGGGCAGCTGGCCAAGGAAGCGTTCGTCTTCGCCGGAGTCAGCGCCGGCGTGAACGCGGCGGTGAACAGGCTGATACCGGGAGGAATTTACGGCAACAGGGGAAGCAGCAGCAGCAGCAGCGGAGCAGTGCCTCCCGTCTCGCACACCGAGATTACCTATAATAATTACTACAACAATGGAAGTGCACCGGCTCCGGCTCCCGACGCGAGTGCAGCTGCTCCTGCCGCTGCTCCTGCTCCTGGCGCAGCTCCTGCCCCTGCTCCTGCAGCTCCTGCAGCTCAGCCTGCGGCCGAACCTGCCACCGTGGCGCCTCTAGCTTCGGAAGGCAACAAAGCGCAGTCTACGAACACGAATCAAGATTCCACGCAGAACAACCCGAATCCGTTGGGGTTCATAACGTCTAACGACGACATCAAGAGGCTAACGGAGAGCTTGTACCAGAAGGAGAAGGACAACAACGCGTTCAAGTATACCACGATGAAGCTGCAGGGACAGAAGACGGACGACAGCACTACGGACGACGCACCTGAACAGTATGCATTTAGAGTTACTCGTTGATTGAGATTGAGTCGCAGCGGTGTTTTCGACTGTCGTTGTTTCAGTTTACTGGAGGTTCAAGCGGAGGCTTACGATCTGCCAACCGTCAAAGCGGTGCTAGCGTTGCACGACAACTACGAGCTGGACGTTAAGACGAAGGAGACCGTCACTTCCGAGGAACGTCGGGAGGAGTCGGATCTCATCGACAAAATTATGGAGACTGAGATCATCAAGTCCACCATGAAATTCCTGGCTGACAAGGGATACATTCCAGACGACGAGTACGAGTTCAAGGACAGCCTGAAGCGCATTTGGTTCTCCCAGTTCAAGCGGATCGACGGGGAACCGTCTAGCTCTGGCTTCGAAACGGTATTCCTAGCTGAGCAATTCGACTCGGATATCATTGGACTGCACAATTGGATTTACTATGCCAAACAGGAAGCTGCGAATAAATTGAATTACCTTGGGTACATCAAAGAAACCAAAATGGGCGACGTAAGTTGTCTACAATGTTTGAAGTTACCATTCGCGAGTTAATTGGAAGGTGATTTACATTGTAATTTGATGATCATTGCAGAAAGCAGCTGTCGTTAAGCTACGCTCGAGCCTGAATGGAATAGTGCAACCAGTCAGTACAGTGTTCGTTGGTACGTCGCCCGAATTGGAATTCGCCCTGTACACGATGTGCTTCTTCACTCGGCCTAACAATCCCTGTCCGATTGCACTCGGAGGCGTCGAGTTCACGATCTACGTGAGCAGAATCAACTACTTCGGGAAAGACATCTTGGTCTCCGGGTACCCTGACATCTAATTTAATTGATCGCAATTATAGTTGCACGTTACATGCAACAGTTAAGTAGAGATGATATCTTTCGAATGAAATAGATGTGGAATTATTGCTTCTATATAAATAGTATACTAGACGTTTATTATCCTGTAACGTGAAGGTGATCCGAGTCCTTCTATGTGATTAAGTGTATAAAGATCAAATCTAGTGCAATGTACGACGTACGTGTTGACATAAATTTTAAATCCCCTTTACAAGAAAGAATTGTGTCACGAGTAATGTTCGTTGTATACCTGTGCAGCTTTTTTATTCCATTTCTCGAGTTCCGAGAGCTCTAATACAGGTATTATAGAAGGTCGGCCGTGAGCGCACCGTGTAGGGATTTTTGTTTTCTGCAACAACATCAAGAGCCACTTGCATTGTTGCAGTGTCAGCGGATCCCCGAATTTGATAGCTCCTAAAATACTCTGATATTAGACGATAGCGAATGAGATTGTTGTTGTACCAATATTTGCTACTATATAATATACACTTTAAATATTTACACTTTACGAATTGCGTACCTTATTTATTGTATTATTTATAAGATCGCACATACCATGACAAGCTTCCATTGCGAGTGCATTATGGATGGTAACAGGAAGATTAAGTGATTCGTGACATTTGTCATTCATCAAACTTTGTATCGTTTCATTTAAAAGATTCTGTACACTCTGTTTCAACTTCACTTCATCGTGATGATATTTATTTTTCTTTAAACACTCTGGCAATGTGTGCACTACCACAGTGCTGTCATTTATGATATTGAAACTTATTCCAAATCTTCTTAATTGTAGTCTATGCTTCAGAAGTACATTGCACTCTTCTATTGTTAACTGTATAGCTATTGAATCTTTTAATTTTGTGGACAGCAACTGATATTTCATTTGACACTTGTATGCTACAAATTATTATGTATTATTATATTGTCAATCATGAATATGTTAATAATAGAGGAGTTGTACTTACTGTTAAGTAAATTTTCGTATCGTATTCTTTCATGAATTGCATGTTGGTCCATTAATAGCAGCATCTTTGTATCATTTTTAACTGCTAGTCCCACTATTAATTCATTGTTCACCTGACCCAATACCTAAAAATGATGAATATTGTTATTGGAATAAAGAAAAACTTCGCATCGAATAATTCTTTATTAAGTAACCTACGGTTACAAACTTTAAAAGTTCCTTTTTCAGTTTAAATTCATGGAATCGCTGAGTAGCCTCGCATGGACGTACATCTGTTTCCTGGTGGAGTAGAATATCTGGTACTAAAAAATTGTTGATGTTTTAATGTGCAGAAATAACTATTGTAATTAATGATTAAACGAATACCATTTTAATATAACTCACTGTCTAATCCAGATCTTAATCTAGCCGAAGAATCGCTTCCACCCCAATCATTCAAAACATCAGTCTTCGTTAATTTCGTGTTACCACGTAAAAGTTTGTGCAATTTCTTCGGCAAGAAGTCAAAGCGCTTATAAAACAGTGTAGAGTTATTATGTTGATTAGCTTCTTTCAATTTCTGTGATTTATCATCATGATAGCTCCAATTGGACCACTGTGTAAGCGCTAATACTGAAGTTTCTTCAACTACATTCTTGCTTAGCTTTTCATGTGTAAATGATTGAATATTATTTATTTCATTCACTGGTAATTGATTTATTGTCATTTCATGTACCGTCTTACTTTTTTCATAATCTTCCAGCAAACTATTATCTTTAATATTTACATTTGATTTGTCAATTGTAGTATTTTGAAACTTTGGAACTACGGGTGTTTTAATTAACAACGTTTTCTTAACCAATTTAATACTGTTTATATTAGAAAGGGGCTTGATATCTTTAAGGAAGATAGTTTCTATTTCATTCTGAATACTGAGTAGTAAATTCCGGACAGAAGGTAAAACCAAAGTTTTCTTTCTGTTTTCCAATGTAAAAATATGTTCTGTACATGAAATAAACAACAAAATAAAAATAGCTTTCCTCTTTGGTATCTGATGCAGTCCAGCTTTCACAAACAATTTCAATGCATTGATAAAGGCATTTGAAATCACTTGGCGAATCAAAGGACAATGCACAGGTCTATTATTGAGAAAAATATACTGTATAGCATTTGACTTTCTGTTAGAAAAACCAATGAAGGCATGGAACTTGGTACAAGGGTCATTCATATTATTAATATACCACAAATTATTGAATGACACTTCCTTGTAATACAGTAATTTAAAAATGTCCATTGGTTTATGAGGTTTAGTGATTGCCATAATAAGTCTCCTTTCTTGATCATCTCTAATGGAAAATGATACCTGGAAACAGTGAGTAAACATGAATTACATAAGATCAATGTACAGATTAATTAATGGATTATTTACTTGTGGATTAACTATGGCAATGTTTCCTATCATAAGGTACGTTAAGGGTACATTCCACTTGTGAAATGTTAGTTCATGGAATCCATAAACTGTTACCGTAGTTCCACTGGATGGTCTTCCTTGAACTTTAACTATCTTGGGTGAACAACCCACTTTGCATACCTACAAATATGAGAAGGTTTCAGTTTATATACTAAAAAATTCATTCACAGTAAATTCATCAGAATAATTTACATGCCTTGGTGTATGTTCTAGATGAACTGCAATGTCTAGAAGTAATGATTACAGCATCAGACAATCTACGAATATTTACTAACGTCTGTTTCTTGGCGTTACATATATCCTCCACATTCCAACAAAGGACGCGTGACCTGTACTCCGCAATGTCAATCAATTTCTTTTTCGATATTCCTACACCATTGTCTACTACTTGAATTTTACGTTTCTCTAAATCAAACCGTATCGCTATCGCCGTCGCTCTGGCGTCCAACGAATTCAAAACCTGAAAATTTTCAATTACGAATAGAACAGTGCTTCCAGAAATTTTCAAAGTTCCATGCGTACCAACTCCGATACGCATTCTTGAAAATTGGTCACGTTCGAGGTGGCGATTATTGACGTTTCCATTCCGATGTTACAATTAAAAAATTAACAGCGTATCAGGAATTTCGTTTCTCGTGAACGGGACTCAACCGTCCTCTACGCAGTTCGAATCACGTGGCCGTTTGAAATCAGCCAATCAGCAACTGTTTCCCAAGTTTACCGATTGTCGGTAACCGATATTCGTTGCCGAACGGGACGCTGAAATGATAACTATATCTCCGTGTACGACATGGATATTTATAAAAATTTCTTTATTTTATTGCAACTACTGAAGAATTTTCACATGTCGCGTTGTCGCAGCTTCGCATAAATCGTGGGAAACGATGATCGCATACTTTTACACACAGAATACGTGGATTTTATACGATAACGATTTCTCTTTATTTTTAGTTCGGCTACGAGTATTCGAATATAAATTTATGAACGTTCAGTTGTGTGTGCAGAAAAAGGGGAGGGCCCTCGAATCGCGAACGACGGCGCGTGTAACGCTCGGCGCCCTGTTTGATGCTCGTAGAAATTCGAAATGCATATTATACCGAGTGATGACTGCCGTCGACGGTTCCATTCCGACGGTCGTGTCCGTGAGTCGCTTTCGAAATTAGTATACTATTAAACCACGTACTGATAATTAATAATAGACGTGCCTAAATTATATTCCGTCTTACGTATAGGAAAACTTAACAACTGTAACGGATATGTTAAGATATCTGGTCTCGTATATAGTTAACACGTTCGTCGCCGGCCACTTATCAATTTCGATTATTATCCTAATATTATTCTCTTCGATATTTATCTTAACGTTTCTTTTCTTTACAGCCATCGGAAATCGCTAAAAAAAAAGAAGAAGAAAAAGAAAGAACGCTTCAGCGGTGTGAACGTGTTAACTAAATTTGAATAGTTAACATAGCTCGAATTACGATCAATCGTTCCTGAGTTTGTCTTTTACAGCATTTACCGTCGAATGTGTCGTTCTATTCATTGTATTTTTTTTTTCTCATTTTTTTTGTTTTCTTCATGCGAACGTCCAACAAAACGCAATTAAAACGGAAGCTTAATTTACGTAGAGATACGTAGTTACATACGTACGCGATGGGTACGTAAACGCGCGTAAAAAATGTTCCTCCCCGTGTCTCATTCGTCGTAACGTATCAATATAATCGATATTATTACAAATATTAC